CTTCCTACTGAGATCTATCATCCTATGAAGACCAAAGTCCATAGTTTTTATAGTTTACGTGTAATGGCCTGGATAAAAATAAAGTAAGACTAGAAATGTGTCATCATGCCACGGATGCTCCCGCATGCAGCCAAAATTTCAAATGTTATAATATTTAGTTCCAAATTTGTTTGCACAAATTATTTTTTTCATTCTAAGTTCAAAGCCCTTAAAACTTTTCAATGTTAACACAAACCATTTTTATACAATGTTCAAGGCACTGAAATTATTCAGTCTTAACCATTTTTATACAATGTTCAAGGCACTGAAATTATTCAGTTGGGGAGAACAGAAACTGAAAATTTCATATTATTTTCAAAGTAAAAGGGGCATAATTTTCATCAGTGCCCCATTTATCATTCTTGTATGTATGAAATAACGTCAGCTTGTTTATGAATGAGTTGTTTACTTAGGATGACGTCATTTCGCTGCTTACAGATTGGCGTCGTTATGTCAAAATATTTATTAACTGATATGGATTTAATATGTGGCGTTAGTGTATTTGAGATATTATTTCGGTATTGTATGAAAAGAAAACATTATATAAATTATTTAGTCTTAACCTTTTAAAAATAGCATATTGCATATTTGTAGCCAACATAATGGCTATATACATTTCCACAAAAGTATGAGTGCTGAAACTGAAAGTTCAAAATTTTTCCAACATTCAGGAAAGATAAGTTTGTCTAAAATCATTGAACCACGACCAAATTCAAACTTAAACTGCTTATTCCTAAGATGTATCTATATTATTTTCAAAGTGAAAGGGACATAACTCTGCTAAAAAAAATCATCGAACCATGATCAAATTCCAACTTGACCTGCGCATTCCTTTTGACATATCCATATGTCAATTTTGAGTTGAATATGTAACACTGTTGGGTTGATAATGAACAGAAACTGTAAATTTCATATCATTTTCAAAGTGAAAGGGGGCATTACTCTGCCAAAAATCATTGAACCATGACCAGATTCGAACTTGGTCTGCGCATTCCAAAAACATATCCATATGTCAAATTTGAGTTGAATGTGTAATATTGTTGGGAGATAATAAACGGAAACTGAAAATTTCATATTATTTTTAAAGTGAAAGGGGCATAACTCTGCCAAAAACATCGAAACCATGACCAAATTTGAAATTGACCTGCGCATTCCTTTGACGTATCAATATGTCAAATTTGAGTTGAATGTTTAATATTGTTGGGGAGATAAATAAACAGAAACTGAAAATTTCATATTATTTTCAAAGTAAAAGGGGCATAACTCTGCCAAAAATCATCAAACCATGACCAAATTTGAACTTGACCTGTATTTTCTCATGACATATCAATATGTCAAGTTTGAGTTGAATGTGTTGTACCGTTGGGGAGATAATGAACGGAAACTGAAAATTTCATATTATTTTCAATGTAAAAGGGGCATAACTCTGCCAAAAATCATCGAACCATGACCAATTTCGAACTTGACCTGTATTTTCTCATGACATATCCATATGTCAAATTTGAGTGCAATATGTGCAAGGGTTATTAAGATAATGAACGGAAACTGATGATGACGGAAGGACGGAAGGAAGGAATGACGGAACAGGGTAACACTATATGCCCCTGCCATTATATGGCGGGGGCATAAAAATCAACAAAGGGCAATAACTCAAAAATATCGTGGAGTACCAGTTTTTGTGCACTGCACTTCTTCTTAATGAGATCTATCATCCTATGAAGTTTCAAGTCCATAGCTTTCATAGTTTAGGTGAAATAGCCCGGACAAAATTAAAGTATGAAAATTAACAAAGGGCAATAACTCAAAAATTAAGAAGTGCAAAGTACCGCTTCTTTTGCACTGCACTTTGGGTTATTGAAAGAAGCAGGCATACCAAGTTTGGAGTCAATCCAACTTTGGAGTGACTGAGTTATGCTCTGGACAAGCCTTAGGGGACAACATCGCCAGCAACGACTCCAACGTTGCCGACAAAAGTAACCCCTATATGTCGCCTTTTCAAGGCTACACAACAACCTACATAGTAACCAGAAAGTAACTGTTAAATCTGATAAAAGCCAAACTTGGCTTTCCAAAACACTTCTAAATCAAAGAAAACATTAACATTCTAAATTTCCAGATGCAGAAACTAACATAATGTGCTAAGACCACCATTTTGGTTGGTTGATTTATCTCCCTTTTTCCTGACAGACTATTCCTGTACCATCCCAAATTTTGTCATGTAACAACACTATTTCCTTGACTTTTTAAGGCCCGGAGCCCATTTTAATAGTCACAGAAATTTCCATTTTCCTGGATAGCTTTGGAACCCTGAACTTTAAATGACATAGTTGCATTCAAACTAATTTACTGTTTTGCATTTGGTAATTTAATGTTCTTTTTTAAGCAGTAAGATTCCTACTTTTGGTCCCATGGTAACAGCAACAGCATCAGCTAGAAGATCTACTCCCTGAAGCATCAAAGCCCGAGCATCTGAGCCAAATTTCAAATCTTTTGCATAGCATCTTGCCAACGCTGGTGTGAATTTCTTAGAAATAGCACTGCGTACAAGTGGTGAAATTCGATGCATTGTGACTGTAAAATAAAACAACAAAAATAAGTTGTTATATATTATGTGTTGACAATTAATACACTTGTTACTATAATTATATAGTAACAAAATTGCCTATGATTTCAACTGATTATGAGTGTCACGTGACCTATTATGAGTTTGCGGCCCCGGGCCGAGAACTAGTTATCAGCCCGCAGAACATGTGCACAAAACTGAAACAATGACGTCACATTTAACGTCATCAAAACAGTTAACTGTAAAAGTGAAAGTAGGTTGTCAGCACGAATCGCTTTATTTTTATTATGAGACCTTAAGCGTATTTAGTACAAACACATTTTTGTTGCTATTGAATTTGAAGAAATAATACGACAAATTCATTCCGAAAAAAATGAAAATAAAACTTGCTTCTTGGTTCTACTGCTTTGAACACACAAACAGAAAACATCTCTGTACAGAACAGTAGAAGAGTAGACAAGAATTTCAACGAAAGAACTTCAAAGTCTATTTGTTTTGATTATAATTTTTTTTTTTTTTTTTGAAATGCTACTATTAGATCTACCAAGTGTATTAAAGACATTAACAGGCTGTCAACCAGGTCTTATCCAAAATATAGGAGGAATATAGGAATATTTTAGCAGGAAATATAGGAGTTTTTGGACCATTTTAAGGCAAAAAAATAGGAGTTTTCAACTTAAATTGTTTAACTTACCAATGCTTGTATAAATTTAAATTATTCTTACTTTTCCACATGCTGTTCTACAATAAAATGTCTACCGTATAAGTGAAGGAAACCATTAGCAGGCTGTCCAGCACCTTCCAACATAAAATTAGGGCGAATTTTACAGTAATATTTCAGAAATTTTAGGGCTAAAATTAGGAATTTTAGGGTACATAATAGAAATTTTAGGGCTAAAAATTTGCAATTTTATGACTAAATAAACTAAGGTCCCATAAGAACACGATGTGGGCTAACGTTTGCATATTTGACACAAAAGTAACTCACAAATAATGCTCTAGTTTAGTAAATAGAGCAAAGGTGCTACCAGTGTGGACTCACTGGTTAACTGCCTCCCCTGCAGAAATGGTCATAGTCAAATCATGCTCAAACCATTTTTTTTAAAATGGCTGAACATGTCAAAAAGAACATGTTCTACCTATGTTTTGGGGAATGTTATAACCACAAGTGTCTAAAAGGAATTCTTATACAGTGAAATTCATGCACAATCAGGGCCAAAAAACCCTTCTTTGTAGAGGCCGAATATAGGCTGCTTCCCCAACCAAATTAGCCTCTTTTTTTCCCCAGTTTGGTCCTCAAAATTCCCATTTTTTAAATTTTCACATAAAATTCAAAAAATTTAAATAGGGGGAATTTAAGTTTTTTTCCCCTTAAATTTTTTATTTTTCCAGTTTTTTTGTTTTTCTATTTGAAAAAGTTTTTTTCCCCAAAAGTTTCCCCCAAAACCCCGCATTTTTTCCCAAAAAAAGGGTCCCCCCCTTCCCCAAAAAGGGTTTTTGGCCCTGAAATGCACTTTTTGAATATAATTATGACAAAAATTTTTTTGTAGAATAGGTTAAAATAAAAAGGCTTTTCCCTTTATACGCTTAAAAAAAAAGGGAAACATTATATTCAAACAAAAAATTGCAAAAAAAAATTCTACAAAACCCTTTAAATTGCATTTATTAATCAAATAATTGAAATGTTTACATGAAATTGGAAATAATTTTATATCTGAATCCCAAATTTTTTTGAGTTGATTTTTATAGAGTCGCCTTTTCCAAAATTTGCACCATTAAAAAAAACAAAACTGAATAAATTGATAACTTTGGGAAAAAAAGAAATTTTCCCCACAAATACAAAAAAATAAATAATTTAAAGGAAAGAATTTTTTTTTCAAAGTCTATGAAACCAGCAGTACTTTACAGTTTTTGATATTTGCAATTTAAATAAAAGAGTGGAGTAAACAAATTGTTTTTAAATTTTTTTGAAAAATATTTAAATTTTTTAATAATTTTTGTTACAACAGTTTCAAAATTCTTTTAAATTATATATTCAAATGACCACTTCAGAAATTTGTAAGAAAAAACAAAAAATTAAATATTGGGCGGGGGAAAACAGGCAAATATTCCAAATAGGGATCTTTGGTTATTTTTAAAGTTTCGGAAAATGATAGGTAGTTTTTTTGTTTTAACTGTCAAAAGTTTACAAAACTGTTTTGTTTATAAATACATTTAAAACTGAATAGTCAAAAATTTTGTTAAACAAAACCTTTCAATTCATAAATTTTTGATTTGGGAAAACAGCAAATCTTTTTTGACAATTTCAAAACAGGTTTCGACTTTGAATTTTGATAGGAATTAAAGTATATTAGTACAAATAAAATAATTGGGAAATTTTCAGTGAAAAATAGGATTTTGGGAATTCCCTTCGAATTTTTCACTTTTTAGGGAATTTTGGGGGTGGGGACAGCCCCAAATTAAACCCAACATCAGCAAAAATTCAGGGGAATGCAGACCATCATCGAATGGTCCCCCAAAAAAATTACAAAAGATCACTTTTTCATGGTCATGCAAGGCTATGTAAGCAAAGAATGACAGCCTTTACATATAATTTCTGTGAGGGTTCACTTCTCTTACCTGTAAAATACAAAAGGCCAAAAGCAGTACCAAAAATTTAATCTCTTTGAATTCCTCGGCAATATACTTTTCAAAAAAATATAGGAAAAATATTCAAAATATAGGAGAATATAGGAAAAATAGGAGGTTTTTTTAAAATATAGGATTCAGACCCAAAATATAGGAGTTTTATAGGAATATAGGAATTGGTTGACAGCCTGCATTAATACACGTCAGCGTAGGGCCGGAAGGTGATAATCAGCCCTGAATGAATAATGGCCCTCGGGCTAAAGCCCTCGGGTCCATTATTCATTTTGCGGGCCGATTATCACCTTCCGGCCCTCTCCTGCCGTGTATTAACCTCTTATTATCATAAAGTTATTACAGAGGCCAACAAACATTGTGAGCGTAAGCATTTCTCCAACATCATTTATGTTTCACAGTTTTAAACATACATCAGAAATGTGGTACATTAGAAATCACATACTGTATGTGTATTTAATTCGTGGGAGCAATTTTTCGCGGAAAGGTCCATTTTTGGGGGTTTATACAAATATTCGCGCTATTTTGAATTCGCTGAGGTGACTGCCAAATATCATAAATTCATGTACACCAATCAGGTTAAAAAAATAAGGAAAATCAGTGTAATCATCGTGGGAGTTCACAGTTATTTTCAATACCAGGTGTCAAACAATATACACTTTTGTATAGAAAAAAGACATTGTCTAGCGAACAGATTTGAGCAAACAAAAGAATGCCCGTTAATGTGCGTGTTTTTTCTGATCAGATCATGTTTTTTTTTGCTGAACAAACAATACAAAAACACAAACATAAACGATTTTAAATGATGAAAAACTTGGAAAACAAAACACAATTTTTCAGTAAACATTAAAATAGATACATATGGAAGCATATAACACACTGATATACATTGTTCTATAGAAATAAGAAAATATGACTATCAAGAAATTATTGGTGTAAAAATATTCGCGCTGAACATGAATTCGCGGATCGAATTACACCGTGAAGATCGCGAAAATTTGAAGCCCGCGAATATTTCTACACATACAGTACATGTATCATTTTGAACATGAAATTGGTGATTTTTAAGCATTACAAATTAAATGTATTGTAAGTCGGAAGTTAATGTCTTTTTTTTCAATTATATATAATATTATATACAATACAAATTCTTGATACCAGAAAAAAAATATCATAAAATGAGAGAAAATTTTGCGCAATATGATGCTGAATATCACTCTTTTCACAATCTAAAGAATGCTAAAATTTCACAAAAATATGATGAAAAATTCACAATTCCCATATAAACATTTAGATTTCAAATTCTTTATTTATGATATTGATGTAAAAAAACTCCTAAACTCTTTGAAGAATTTGGTCGAAAATAATTGACGATCCAGGGTTTTACATCTCTGATATTTTAGGAGTCCAGTGGATGCACAGACTAGAAAAGTAGGGGTCCAGGCCTAAAATTTAGGGGTCCAAAATTATATTATAAACTGAAAAGACTATGAAGACCACTCAATTTTGCTCAAAATCATTTATTTACCCTGTAAGAAATATGCATGCACATGGTACTGTTTTCATAAGTAGTACATGATTTCAATATCACTTTAAATTCGTTTGTTTACACATTATTTGTATAATATAATAAAACATCATGTGCTATTTTCAAGGCTTAGTCTTTGAGTGGCTGGAATGTCATGTTTTAGTAACATATTTTGTGATTTGATAAGGTGATTATATCAACAGACAGAAAGCTGTACTGATCTATCTATAAATATTTTAGCTGTACTATTGTTTGATTTTATTAACCTGTCAATTCCATACTCATTATACAGTCAATGCACAGAATATATTAATATTCGGTAAATGTCGGTAAATTCTATGAGAGGTATGCAGTAAGATGTTTAAATTCATTCAGTTTCTATGAATTAGTTACACTGGCTGTTATAGCGCAATAGGGTAAACCACAGGCATATAATATCAAGATGTCTTACATGTTGTAAGATCGAGACAGTGTTTGTCCAGGTTTTTTTCTTATTCATAACTATATTCAAAATTTTTTAAGTTATGGTTGTTCTGCTTTTTATATGTTTTGCACGCTTTTGTAAATACTATATTTTTGTATATAACTGATACTGAAAATTCATTCGATTATTTAATCAATAAATGTAATTTCAGTGCTGTAAAATACAATACAAAATGTGACAATTCAGTGTTTCTTAGTTGTTTCATATCTGTGTAGACAATTTTGCGAGCGCTTGACCATTTTCTTTAAAATACAGTAAAAACCCGCTTTACGACCACCCCGTTTTCGAGACCAACCCGCTAATACGAACGATTTTTCAAAGACCCGATTTTTTATTCTTTATTTTAATGGTCGCTA